ACAGTTTGCTGACCCGTTTCTATGCCATGTTTAGCCACTTTTAACTGACTTTAGAACATCTGAGATCCCGTTGTCATCTTTTTTAATTTTTTTTTTATTGTACTTTAGGTGAAGGTTTACAGAGTAAATAGTTTCTCATTAAACAGTCAGTACCCATATTGCTTTATGATATTGGTTAACAACCCCACGACATGTCAACCCATTGTCTTCTTAATTCTTTACTCCCCTCTTCTGCTTCCCTTCCGTTCACCAGGGCCTAATGCTAGATCTCTTGCAGTTTCTGTTAGTACTTTGTTTCTCTTCCCAGGCCTGTTGTCCTTTTAAAGACTGAAGTTTCTAGTTTGATCTTGGCTGAATATAGTGCTTAATAGTTGCATTAACCATTTGCAGATGCTCTAATACATTTCCCACAACAGCTATTCCAAATATTTTCTACTTTCCTGGAATGAGCTTTCATTCTCATTCCAACCCCCCCATTCTTCACAGGTAACTTCACTTCTTTTTTAATAATTTATTTTATTTTTGTTGTTGAGAACATACACAGCAGAACATACTTCCTTCTTTACTGTACTGAGAAAACTGAGGGCAGCAGATAATGTTTCTATACTTTCCCTCCTTTTCACCCAACATCCTCCTTTTTATAATCTTTCCTTTTTTCTGCTTTCAGAAAAATGTGATCCTTCTCCTTTCTAGGGCTAACACCTTCTCCTTACTCTCCTTGAGGCTGTTGCCTACTATTCCCCTAGACTTTTGCTCCTCAGTTTTCTGATTTTTCCTTCTCTGGTATTTTCAGTTTCTTTGGCTCTTTTTCCTGTCTTGGACATGTACGGATCTCCTCAATTTAAAAAAAAAAAAAAAAAAGCTGCCACTGATCTTTCTATCCCTTCTAGCTACATTTCTGTTTTTCTCATTCACTCTATTGCCAAACATCTCTAATGAGGGATTATTGCTCATCTGTTTCCTTCACTTCCAATTTCCTTAACAGCACTGGTGAATTTCCACATTCAAAGACTTTTCTCAGTTCTTATTTTCTTGATCTCCTTGGAACATTTAACGATTTTGATAATCTTCTTTGAAGTTATTCCTTGATCTCTGTGACACACCCTTATCAGAGTTCTCCTTAAGCTCTCTGAAACCTTATGGCTCCACCAACCCTCCAATGTGAACTCTACACAGAATTTTTTTCTCAGTCCTTTGTTTTTGTTTTTTAAAAATATTATATTGTATTTTGGGTATAATTATACACAGCAGAACAGGTTCCCATTAAACAATTTCAACACAGAATGTTCAGTGACATTGGTTACATTCTTCACATTGTGTTAGCCTTCTCATTATTTCTGTTCTAGTTGTTCCATTCCCATTAACTTAATCTTACTGTCTCCCAACCTTCTCATCCATGCTGTAGAGTGACTATAGTCCATTTGGTCTCATATACATAATTTATTAGAAGCATGCAGTACTCAAGGGTGACATTCTTTACTTTTTGAGCTAACCTGGTACTTAGTTAATAAGTGACTACAGGGGATAGTTTTGCTTTAGGGTTTAAAGAGTATCCGAGGGCAACAGTCCAGGGAATTCTTTCAGTCTCAGTGGTTCCAGTAAGTCTGGGTTCTTTGAGAATTTGAAGATCTGTTGCACATTTTTCTCCCTTTCTATCAGGATCCATCTATTGTGACCCAGATCAGAACGTTCACTAGTGGTAGCCGGCCACCATGTAGGTCTTCTGGTCTCGGTAGAGGAGGCCGTGGTTCATGGAGACAGTTGGTCCTGTGGTCCAGTTCCTTCTCTGAGTCTCAGGTTTGCTTCTTTGTTTTTTGCTCCAGATGAATAGAGACCAGTAATTGTGTCTTACATGGCCACTTGAAAATTTATAAGACCCCAGACACTACTCACAGATTCGGATGTAGAATATAAACTTTATGAACTCTGTTATGCCAGTTGACTGAATTGTCCCATTAGACCATGACCCTAAGTCTTCAAACCAAGAACACCAATCCTATGAGTTGATTCCAGCTGTTTGTTTTTTATGTATTATCTCTTAAAATTTTTTTTGTCATTTTTAACACTGACCTTTATAAGTATAATGTCACCATTTTTTTTTTTTTAACATTTCTTCAATGTCCTTATACTGTCTCAAACTCAACTTAGTTATCTATGAATCAACTCCTTTTTTTTTTTTTTTTTTTACTTCTCTATTCCCGTTAAGGTGGCTGGGTGGTGCAAATGGTTAAGGGCAACTACTAGCCGAAAGGTCAAGGTCGGCAGTTCAGATCCACCAGAGGTCCCTTGGAAGACAGGCCTGGTGATCTGCTTCCGTAAGGTCATAGCCTTGAAAAGCCTATGGAGCAGTTCTATTCTGCACATATAGGGTCACCATAAGTTGGAATTTGCTCGACAGCAGCTAAGAACAACAACAATTTCTGTTAAAGGTACCACAATATTTTCATCACTCCTACTCCTTATTTCCTCCCCACCCCCAAACTTCCCAGCCCAAGGCAACCACTAATCTACTTTCTCTGTATATGGATTTGCCTATTCTGGACATTTAATATAAATGAAATCATAAAATATGTGGTCTTTTGTGTCTGGCTTCTTTTACTAAGCATAATGTTTTCAAAGTTTATCCATGTTGTAGCATGTATCAGTACTTCATTTTTTTGGCCAAATCCCATTTGTTTCTTGAGGTATAACTTACATATAGTAAAATGCACAAACATTAAGTTTGCAACTCCATACATGTTTACATATGTGTACATCCATGTAGCCCCCAGTACCCAGAAGGCTTCCTTACACCCTCTCCTAGTCAGTATATTCTTCCCCAAATTTCTTCTTTGTCCTCTGACTTCTATCATCATAGTTTTGCCTGTTTTTGACCTTCATATAGATGGAATCATAGAATATGTATTATTTTGTGAATAAGCATGTATTTTTAGAAACACAAAATTACTGTCAAATGTCTCTTTGAGTACTAACTTCTAATGTGTGAACAGTTTTCTGTAATTTCTAAGGAAATCTCTAATAACTTCACACAATTGCACATTTGGGTTCATGGCCTATTGTTATTTCTTTTTAAAAGTGTTCTAAAGAATAATTTTCTATATATCCTAAAAATGTTTGTTTTTGCTTATTTTATAGCTTTAGTATATCTTAAACTAAACTTATGTAAGTGATTTTTTTTAACAAATGTTTTAATTTTAAGGCCTAATTTTTAAAAATATAATCTTAACTGAAAAACAAAACAAAATAAAATGAAAACACAGTTTTATCTTCCCAGTCTCTGGATTCAGCCGTATCATGATGTGAACTGTTTAGAATTTAAAATTTTAAGTGAACATCACTATAGACTCTACAGAAATTGAAAGGATTATAAGAGAATATTATGAACAAGTCTTGCTTAGTTTCCTAGGGCTGCTATAACAAAATAACACAAAGTGGTGGCTTTCAAGAACAGAAATTTCTGTTCTTTAGGAGTCCAAATTCAGGGCATTGGCAGGGCCATGCTCTCTCTGCTTGCTTCCTTGTCTCTTCCAGTTTCTGGTAGTCTCATGTGTCTCTGGAGGTTGCTTGGCTTGTAGATGTGTCTGCACATGGCATCTTCCCTGTGTGCCCTGTATTCACATCTTTTACAAGACACCACTCAGAAGGGATTAGGATCCATTCTATTCCCATATGACCTTGTCAGCCTTGTTCATTGGTAACACCTTCAAAGAAAGAACCTATTTCCATTCAAGGTCACATTCACAGGTACAGGGGTTAGGACTTCAACGTATCTTTTTTGGGGACATAATTCAATCCATTAAAACCTTAATACCAACATATTTGACAATTTAGATGAAATGGAAAAATTCCTAGAAAAAGAAGGGAGATTCCTCAGCCTGTTAAATGGCATCTACAAAAAATCTACGACTAACATCATATTTAGTGGTGAAAGATTAAATGCTTCTGTCCTAAGGTTGGAAACAAGGCAAGGATGTCTGCCCTTGCCACTTTCGTGGTATTAAAGATTCTAGCCAGTGCAACAAGGTGGGAGGGTATGTAGGAGTCGGGGTGGGGAAGGGAAACCAAAAGCATCCAGATTGGAAAGGAAGAAATAAAAAATGTCTTTATTCATAGACAGTATGATCTCATGTAGGAAATCCTAAGGAATCTACAAAAAATAAACTATTAGAACTAATAATCAGGTTTAGTAAAGTCACAGGACATAAGATTGATATAGAAAAATCAATTGCAGTTACACGCACACACACAAATCAGTTGCATTTCTGTATTATTAGCAATGAACAGTCCAAGCAAAATTAAGAAAACAGTTCCATTCACAATAGCATCAAATAGAATAAAATACTTAGGAACAAATTTAACAAAAACTCTTAATCGAGGCCACGTATAGAGGGAATAGCATACCTCCATTCTTATTTCAGCTTTGTCTCTTAGTAATTGTGTACAATTCACATAACTTTCTAAGCCTCATTTTCCTCATCTTTAAATTGAGGATACTGCAGTACTACTTGCCTCACAGTGCTGTTATGAGCATTAGAATATATTTATGATGTAAAACATTGCACAGTGTTAATTGTACTTAATAAACCACACAGGAGCTGTTTGCCTTCCCAGTCCCCTAGTTGAAGCAGTATGGGAATGCACTTATGAACTGTGGCAGTTTCTTCACGTGGTACAGGGCTGGGTCTTCTGCCGTGCTGCAGAGAAGCTGTAATTTTGGACCAATTAGGTCAGACTATGCTTAGGCTCCCAGCCAGATCCCTCACTCTTACCCTGAAATCACCAGCAAGGTATTTATCTTTCATGCCATGATTTACCCATTTTATAAAAGGTTATAACTTTCATTTATCATTTTGAAATACTTCTTTATGTTATAAAGTTTTATGGGCGTTTTAATCCCAGCATATTGAATAATTGGTTGTTCTTTAAACTTGCCATATGTTGAGTATTTAGTGTACGCCATTGAATTTAACTTTGTTTTCCTTTTCTTTCCTCTTGTTAAGGGCTTACGGGAGCCAGCTCCTTTTTCTGATGAAATTGAAGTTGACTTCAGTAAGCCCTATGTCAGGGTAACTATGGAAGAAGCCAGCAGAGGAACTCCTTGTAAGTCAATGCCTATTGTTTTACTATTATTTTTAGCATTCAATTGTATTTATTTACCAAATATATGCCTACTGTCCATATTCTTCCCTCATTTTATCTGTCAGAGCAAGTTGGGGAGGGTTCTGCTCCCCTCTACCTTGCTATTTGGGCGATAACTCTACTCCATATGTTTTTCTTTTCTTTTTATTATTACATACTTGCTTCCTGGGCTGTTGTCGTAGCTGTGAGATATAGTAGAGCAGAGACAAGATATTAAACTGAGCTGGGTTATAATCTTGTCCATTTTACAAAGGTCCAAATATATGTCATTCTATTGCATTTTTAATAGCCTTCAAAATTGTTTCCACAATCTCACATCTAGCTATGATGTGCCTGATTGGTAGAGGACAGATATATCCCAAGTTAGGAGATACTCATCACTTAATTTTATCTTTATTGATTTTATAATTTCCTGTCTTTTTTTAAGACTCGCTTTATTATTTTCAAAGCCCATACTCTTATTTGTATACTTAGTTTATATCATTAGTTAGCAATTTTTTAACCAACATAAATTATTAGTATAATAATGCCCTCCCAATCTTGGGAAATTGGTTTTAGGGATCATTATAAATAGAAACGAGCCCCGGTGGTGCAGTGGTTAAAGCGCTCAGCTACGAGCCAGAAAGCTGGAGGTTTGAACCCGCCAGCTGCTCCTCAGGAGAAAGATGTGGCAGTCTGCTTTTGTAAAGATTTACAGCCCTGGAAACCCTATGGGGCCGTTCTACTCTGTCGTCTAGGGTTGCTATGCATCGGAATCAACTTGATGGCAGTGGTTAAAAAATATAAAAGGAAACGTCCATGAGTATTTGTTATGATAACAAAATCCTATGGGGCAGCTGCCTTACTTCTCTGTAAGTTCTCCAGTTCTTCCTTTTTTTTCCAATCCTTTTTCAATTCTTCTAATTACTATGGTAAGTGTTCCCTCTACTCTGTAAATGTAGGGCTGAGTTTTGACTCAGACAAGCACCGGGGAATAAGAGGCAGTTATAGCTAAAAATTGGTACGTTTTCAGTGCAGAGGGAATATCTGTGGCTACCTCTTGATTGTGTTAGTATGTTTGCTCTCTGTTGTAACTGAGGACTAGTGAAATGTAAATAGAAATGAATGCTGGACAGTATCGGGCTAGGGATCCCAAGTCCGCTTGGCTATATGGATTATGGTTTTGGGGTCCTCAAAAAGAGAGGTTAGAATGCTGTCCTTAGAATCGCATGTGTTGATCACAACCCTTCTACTCATGATGTGATTTTTGTGTTTGGCTCTCCTTACTTGAGTAACAGGCAGGCTAATAGGGTAGGATAAAATGATGACAAGGATAGGTCTGGAAACACAGAGGCTGTATGTAACAGGGTATAATGGTGGCAGATCAAGTTTCAAAATGCCAACAGACAGTTCAAGAGTCACATTCAGACATGTGATAGTAGAGCCTGTTGAAGACAAGAACTTTTTATGTACTCTCTAATGACACACATTTAGAATTCAGTACCTCACTCAGGTATATGATCAAATTAGTTCTATTACCCAGCTTATTGCTAATTTATCCTCAGACTTTTTTTGGTACATTAACCAAAAACCAAACTTGTTGCCGTCGAGTCAATTCTGACTCATAGTGACCCTGTAGGACAGAGGAGAACTGCCCCATACGGTTTCTAAGCAGCGGCTGGTGAATTTGAACTGCTGATCTTTATGGTACATAGAAGTTGAAAATATGTGTACTGTTTCCAAGTTCTGAAGCTTATAACTAACAAGCACTAATTAGTAATTCTAAAAAAAAATTAATTTTAGAATAATAGAATTTTACAAGTTTATGTAACCTTTGAGATTATCTACTTTATAGTCTCTTCGTTATATACGTGAGGAGATTAAGGTCCATAGGATCTGAGAAGTGAAGGCTCCCATACAGTAAAACAGATAATTAGCGATACGTTTGGAGCTAAACCCTAGGTCTTTCCAGCCCTGTGCTCTTTTCACCCTGGAGTGGTGCCACTCTTTAGAGACATTAGTTATAAACAACAGAAGGCCATTGGCAAAATGATTGCGTTTCCAGTGGAACAGAGTTGCAAAGTAGTTGCTCAAGTTTGCTTGTCTAATTTGATACCTGGTTTTTCCCCTACATCTCATTCTCTCTGTTCTGTTTTATATTAAATACTAAATAGCTGACTGCCTTCATGCCAATGCAGGACAACGACTAAGCCAATAAATAATCTATACATTTCATAGTTAGTGGATTTTTAACCAGTAATTGATAGGAGTTCCTGGGCACTGCAAATGGTTAAGCACTTGACTACTAGCCGAAAAGCTGGTGGCTTGAACCCACCCAGAGGCACGTCAGAAGACAGCCCTGGTGATCTGCTTCCAGAAGATCACAACCTTGAAAACCCTATGGAGCAGTTCTGCGGTGCATACATGGGGTTGCCATGGGTCAGAATTGACTTGGCGGCAGCTGATAACAACAACTGGTAGGAGAGGACATTCCCTTCGGGTTTTCACTAAGAAGGTTAAGGGAGTTAAAGAGGGAAGTTTGTATAATCTGGGAGAAAACTCTACGCAGGAAAAAAACAAGTGTGACTTGACAGATGGGATCAGCTTTGCAAAATACGGGGTGAGGAGGGGAGAGGGGCAATATGCTTCACTATGAGAAAGGAAGAAAAAGGGAAACTGGAGGGCAGTGGAAATCTGTTAGGGATAAAATGTTTCGGTGACAGGTATTTGGGAAAATATACCAAAAGAGACAATGAATTGAAACCCAGATCTCTTCTACCTAAAGGAGGACATTTGGTTACTTATCCAAAGATTTAGGGTTAAGTGATAGGGAATTAAGATGTTGGGTTAAAGGGTTGGGGAGGCTGAGGAAACACTGAAGAGACGCATCTGGGGTTGGTCAGAAAGGGTGCAGTGACATACTTGGCCTAACAGGGATAATTAACTACGCTGGCAGACAGACACTCAGTCAACGGCATTCTGTGCTATTGCCACCATCCAAGAATGTGTTTACTGAGCTAAATCCCCCTCACTTTACTTTGCCCTGGCTGTACACTGTCTAATAGCAAGAGAACAACAACAAAATATTGTTAATTTTTATGTTCTATCCTTTGTCTTTTAGAATCAAGTAAAGTGAGATCATAGCCCCTGGACTTGTCTAGGAAAAATGGAAGTATGTTAGTAACTTTATAGTCATGATTTCTAGGATCTATAAGAGGATTATACTACTCAGATTTTGTTTTGTTTTATAGATGAGGAGACAGGCTTGAAGAGGTTATGGACACACAGGCAGGGAGTTGGTTGGCAAGTTCAGACTGAAATCCTTTCTTACTCTTAAATCCATTACAATGTTTCTCAGTTTTTCATTGTATTGGTGTATCTTATTTTTAATTTTAATTCTTGAATTATAAAATTAAGGCATTCCCATGGTTGAATATTCAAAAAGTATAAAAAAATGTAAGTTGCTGCTGTTAGGTGCTGTCGAGTCGGTTCCGACTCATAGCGACCCTACATACAACAGAACGAAACACTGCCCGGTCCTGCACCATCCTCATGATGTTGTTATGCTTGAGCCCATTGTTGTAGCCACTGTGTCAGTTCATCTCATTGAGGGTCTTCCTCTTTTTTGCTGACCTTCTACTTTACCAAGCATGATATCCTCCAGGGACTGGTCCCTTCATGTCCAAAGTATGTGAGACAAAGTCTCATTATCCTTGCTTCCAAGGAGCATTCTGGATGTACCTCTTCCAAGACAGATTTGTTGATTCTTTTGGCAGTCCGTGGTATATTAAGTATTCTTCACCACCACCGCAGCTCAAAGGCATCAATTCTTCTTCGGTCTTCCTTATTCGTTGTCTGGCTTTCACAAGCATATGAGGCGATTGAAAACAGCATGGCTTGGGTCAGGTGCACCTTAGTCCTTAAAGTGACGTCTTTGCTTTTTAACACTTTAAAGAGGTCTTTTGCAGCAGATTTGCCCAATGCAACGTGTCGTTTGATTTCTTGGACTGCTGCTTCCATGGGTGTTGATTGTGGATCCAAGTAAAACGAAATCCTTGATGACTTCAGTCTTTTCTCCATTTATCAGGTATAAATGGAGATACATAGAGTGAAATATCTTCCTCTCTCCCCTGTCTCAAAGCCACCCAGTACCCCTCTTAGAAGCAACCAGTATTAAGTTTCTTGTGGATATCCAAGCAAATAGGTTATATATTCCCCACCCTTTTAGTGGCTGTATCATGATATATCTAACTAGTTTTGCATTGAAATTTAGGTTGTTTCCAAATTTTTGCTGTTACAGATAATGCTGCAATGATAATTTGTGCCTAGTTACAAGTTATCTGTGAGATAAATTTCTAGAATTGGAGTTGCTGAGTCTAAGGGTATGAGGATTTGTCATTTGTCTTTTGATAGATATTACTTAATTGCCCTTCTTAGAAGTTATACTAATTTATGTTTCTATCAGCAATTTATGGTGTCTTGGTTTAAAAGCTACTTGTTTGTGGATAAAGGTATCTGAAAAGAGAAGTCCATAAACCTCCTGAGAAGCAATTTCTTCCTCCCTGATTCATTGCCCTCAAGATTGGAGGGAGCTGGATCTTACCCCACCACAAGTATGGTATTTCTGATGAGGCTGTAACCCTTCCTTCCAAGATTGATGTAACTGCTGCAAACGTTATTTTCTACTATGACAGTGAAATAGCTCTTCCTTTATTCACAGAGTAGGAATAAGTTAGTAGGACTCTTCAGATATATCATTTGAAACATGATGATCCATTATGCCAATTTCATTCTTAATGTGTTTGACTTTGGAACTAGTCTTGTACCCCAAGAGATCATTTCCTGGCTTCTCTTTCTTAGGCCACCACCACTAAAAATAAGTTGACAGCCAGTTCTTTCTTATTCTCACTAATGGAGGGAAAAGGAAAAGTTATAATGATAAGTTCTAAAATATTTATATTTGATTTTCAAATACTTAGTATTTCACCTTCTAGTGTGAAAGCTTAACATTGTGCTCACTATAAGAGGAGAAATGCTATCACAGAGCAGGTATTGAAGGGCAAATTTGGAGCTGAGAAGCAGTAAATTGATAACTGGTCCACTTAGCTACTTATGCTCCCTCTTTTTCAATCTCATCCTTCTATATCACCCCTTACTCTCTGTGCGATAGTAGAGAGATTTATCTTCAAAGCTGAACATTGGTCATTAGTAATCAAGGCATCTTGAAAATGAGAGAGCAAGGGACTGCTCTGACCGGGACCACAATAGTAGGTCGTGGACAGAGTGGGAGAGAAATATAACACAAAATTCCAACTCATAAATAAGACTAGATTTACTGGTCTGATAGCGACTGGTGGAACCCCTGAGACTGTGGCCCTTAGACACCCTTCAAACTTGTAACTGAAATCACTTCCAGAGATCACATTAGACCCATACATTAGACAGGCCTATAAAGTGAACAGTAACACCCGTAGGGATGTGCACCTCAGAACAATCAACTATTTGAGACCTAAAGGGCAGCATTTGCCTAAAAGCAGAGTTCAGTAGGGGCAGGAAATCCGGGTGAGTGGACCTGGGGAACCTAGGGGGGAAGGGGGGCGAGTGCTGACACATTCAGGGGTTTGTAACCAGTGTCACAAAACAAGCTATGTGTAAATTGTTGAATGGGAAACTAATTTGCTCTGTGAACTTTTGCCAAAACAATAATAAAATGTTCAAAAAAGAAAATGACAGAGCAAACAGCCAGATTATAGCAGGAAGTTTACACATAAACTGAAAGTGAGGATTATGAAGTTCAGGGCATATCTGTTGTTTTGTTCTCCCCATTCAGTTCTAAAATAACTTTCATAAAAAACATTCATGAAATCCAGTTACCTGAGCAGTTTGGGACAACCAGGCTAATAAAAGGCATTAGTGGAGATGATGTCAGGAGGGTCTTTGTCCAAGGAAGTCTGTGATGTTATTCGTTACTGCTCCAGTCCATCCCCAAGTCAGAGTGAATACCCGGAGAACATCTTAGAGAGATGCGTGCAGGGATGGAACAGTCACACAGTGCTATTTCCATTTGTCACATCTGAGGTGTTGAATAAATGTATTTGTGTAATAAAATCTTTCCTTTGGATTTAGACGAGCGGCCTGTGAGAGTTTATGCAGATGGAATATTTGACTTATTTCACTCTGGTCATGCCCGAGCTTTGATGCAAGCAAAGAACCTTTTCCCGAATACATACCTCATTGTGGGAGGTAAGAAAACATCTGATGACTTTAGGTGCTATGTGTCCAGAAAAAGCTGATAGGAGTCTTTTTCTCTCCTGTCTTTATAACCCGAGTGTGTTGATCCTTGGTTCCATTTTTAAGGGAATGATGCAGGATAGCCTCTCTATAGCATGAAATATATGAGGTGCCAGCACCTTCAACCTGGAGAGGCCATTGGTTTAGGCCTCACTGGCCTGAGCTGTCCAGTATTTATCTCACTGCTTTTTAGCTGAGTTTCTCCAGTCATGGGAGCAACACTGACTCCTATTGCCTATTTAAGAACAGCATTTGCTCTAGATTTCGGTTTTACCACTTTGGATAATTTAATTGTTACATAAATGCACAGCAGGTTCATTTCAAAGTCAAAATGTTGGTGCCCGGTTGTACCCTTTCTTCTCCAAAGTGTGAACATACTGTTTAGTGAGTGTTGCTCCTGAAGGTGTATCTTGGATTAGGAAAAGTATTGTTACCCAGGTGGAGCTACATCCAGAAGATTCTTTTGCAGATGGGGAGGATCGTTGCAGTCCTAGGAAGAGGAAGATGGGAGAGGTTGGTGTCTGGGGAGTCATTAAGCAAAGGGGACCTTGACTTACCACTTTATGATGCGGTGAATTCAGTCTGCAGTGATGAGCTGACACACAACTTCAAAGGCTTCACAGTGATGAATGAAAATGAGCGCTACGACGCAGTACAGCACTGCCGCTATGTGGATGAAGTGGTGAGGAATGCCCCCTGGACCCTGACACCTGAGTTTCTGGCAGAACACCGGGTAAGAAACTGGGTGCTTGTCCCATTCCTTGTTCCAGAGTCGCCTCAGTTCTCAAGGCTTCTGGCACTTGGACTAGTTTTCCACTAGCTCTACTCCACCTCTACCTTCTATGTGATTTCGTATAGAGGAGATGACGGTGATATTACTACTGATAGTCATCTCTGACATTTGTATGGGGTTTAATGGTTTACAAGCACTTTTACATCCATTATATTTCATTTGTCCGCACCCCAACCCTGTGGAATAGTTATTATTTCCATTTTATGGATGACGAACAAGGCCCAGAGAGACCAAATAACCTGCTGCTAGTCACATTGTAGCAGGGCTAGGAACTGAACTCTTGAGCTGTGTGATCCCCTATTCCCGCTGTATCTGTGTCAACTCTCATAGCAGCCCAGTCTCTTTGGAATATACGTAGCCCCAGCCATGCTTTCAAGAAGTTCACATTCCAGGAGATAAGACAGATAAACATAGACCTTTCTTGTGCTAAATTTAGTTTGAGTGAGGGCTCAAAGTTGTGTGGGATCACTTTTTTTTTTACTAGTGAGTTAGTATTATTAAAACCCATTACCTACTTTTAATTCTCCTACATTAAAACCACATGTTTCCTACAAATGTTTGGTATAAAAGATGAGAAGGATTAATCATGCCAGGTTGGAGGGCCTCAAGTTTGAGGAACTGGCAAGCATTTCACTCAGTTCTTTATAAGAGTGTGTAGAATGTTGCAGGGGAATTGGTCAATGAGGCAGGAAAGAATAAAGGTAGCCAAGGGGCTTTTAAAGCAATGTTTAAAATAGGCCTGAAGCTAAGGCATATTTGTTAAACCTGTTTACAATTTGAACAGACTTATTATATTCTCTAAGGAGCCCTGGTGGCACATCAGTTAAGCGCTTGGCTGCTAACTGAAAGGTTGGTAGTTTGAACCCACTCAGTGGCTCTGCAGGAGAAAGAGCTGGTGATCTGCTCCCATAAAGATTACAGCCTAGGAAACCCTAAGGGGCAGTTCCGCTCTGTCACATTGGGTCACAATGGAATGGATTCTATGACACCCAACTACAACATTATAGTTCTCTAGCTTTTCTGTACCAGCACTTAGTAGCCAGTGGCACCAAAAATGATGAGCAAGATTGTTTTCAGCAACACAGCCAGGCAGGCCCCAGACAGAAGTATGAGGTTGGAGGAACTTCTGACTAACCTTTCCTCCTTGTTAGCAGTATCTCCTCAGCCAGGAGTCTTGCTTGCCCCTGTTCTATTTTTACTTTGCTGCCTGTGATCCCTGACAAGTCACTCTGGGAAATTGAGATGTTAGCTGAGAGTCCCTGACACAGTCCTGATGAACATGCTGCACACCGCAGTGGCTTTTGGGAGTTGAGTGTGGTGGTGTTAACAGCTATATTGTGTAGCAGGTCTCTCAGAAAGATTATTGTCCCCAGTGCCCAGTCACCTCTTCTCACCCTTGCAGGGCATATTGACAGTAGCAGAATGATAGATCCTAAGACATGAAATTCTGTCGTGGCTTTGGGTTTTACAATTCTTTCGAGTTTGGATGTATCTATTCCACTAAAAGGGCTTTGGGTTGCTATTTTTATATTCCCACTCATCTTATGGACTGAGAGAAACCTGTTGAACAAGGAAGTGACCTTTCTCATACTTTTAGAAACCCTTATTTGACCAGTCCTTATAGGCCTAGGAGGGTGGGGAGATTCCTGTCTTCTTTCCTAGGGCCTGCCCACTGACTAGCTCACCAGCAAATCAGCTCACCCTACTGACCATAGCATGGTGACTGGCATACAGTGGGAGGGTAGCTCTTCCACTAGGCCAGGAGAAACAGCTGAAAAGGAAACTGGCTAACTTCACATTTACGATCCTTAAGTAACCAGGTTGGGTGATTTGTGAACGAGTCATAGAATATAGGAGTAAAGTAAAGGGAGGTAGAGAGGAAAAAAGTCTATTTGAGGCCCGACCTCTGCTTATTGTCCTTCTTCTGGGCCTGGTCATAGTCATTGGTTTTTTCTGAATGGCAGTTATCCTGGGTTTTAAATGATGTTTCCTTATTTTCAGATTGATTTTGTAGCCCATGATGACATCCCGTATTCTTCTGCTGGGAGTGATGATGTTTATAAACACATCAAGGAAGCAGGTAAGTCGATGTGCCTCCTCACTTTATGGGGCCTCGTGGACAGCTACAGAAATTCTACCATATTACTACTTTACAGAGGAAAACTGTATACTGAGAAATTGAGCATCCTCTTTCAGGTCACACTTCAGATAAGAAGTAAAGCTGAACATAGCACTGACGGCTATCAGTTGTCAATCGTCTAAGAGCATCTACTTTAATATTTCTTTTAACTTTAAGAAACCTATTCCTGGTCCTTTTTTTTTTTTTCTCTCTCTTAATATTAGGACCTTATAGCTTCTCCTTTCTTTTCCGCTAGCCTTTTATTCAGTCCTCCTTCTTTATGTCAGTATCTGCAGACATCACTTCTGCTTTTTGAGGATAGGAAAGTAATGTTTCCAGTTTTCATCTAGTCCCACTGCCCGAGCTAAGCAGATTTCACAGTGTTTGTCTGTATGTGCATGCATTCTTGTGTTAGGCATGTTTGCTCCAACACAGAGGACGGAAGGTATCTCCACGTCAGACATCATCACCCGAATTGTCCGGGACTATGATGTGTACGCGAGACGGAATCTACAGAGGGGCTACACAGCTAAGGAGCTCAATGTCAGCTTTATCAACGTGAGTTCCAGCTCTCATCCCAGAGTTCCCTGGCCCTGCAGGACGTGGCTTGCCTCCCACTCCACCTGATTTGAGTTTGCTTTTCAGTCAGTTGTAATTGTCACCCCTAAAAGTTCAATAAATGCCCCTTTGCAGGTAACACTATGCTAAGCTCTTTACAAAGAGAATAAACCGGAGGCAGTTTCTGCCCTTCTGGTCTAGTATCAACACATTGATATAAGGACACACAGCCAGTTAAATAAGTAACAATGTGTAACTTACCTTGTGCCACGTTAATACCAAATACATTTAAAACAGTAGTTCTTAACCTCTTTTGATCGGATGGTTTTTTGAAAATCTGATGAAATCTGTCTCTTCTCCCTGTGTGTATAGTTACACACAGCATTTTGCATGCAGTTTCTCAGGGTATGTGGACCTAAGTTTTAAATTTGATTTGTGAAAGATTGATACTACCTTTTAGAAACAAACCATAATGCATTTTGTATATAAAGTATACCTCCGTAAAGTTGATTTAAAAAGATAAACTGTTGACTATATCTTCTGTATAAGTAGTTTACCACGCTCCCTCACCTGCACCCAGCTCTGTGAATGATTCTATAAGTGAAATAGTTTCATTTAAATATGGTTTATCTATTCACATAAAACCCAGCTGCTGTTATCACCTACTACAAAATCTTTATTTTTCCATAAGACTCAGGTTTTTAAGAGCCCTAAACTTACTCCTTTTCTCCTTTATGACCTGGAAATTGTGAAAATACTTTTCATTTGACTAAACATTTTCTTCCCAGAACGTTCGTACTGTATTCCCTTATCTTTAGGAACAAAGAGTATCATCTTCATTCAGCAAACGAACAAAAACAAAGAAAAAGACACCCCCCCAAAAAAAAAAAAAAAAAAAAAAACCAACAAAATAACCCCTAACTCTTCTAAAATCATAGATAAAGGGGAAAAAAAATCTAGTACAATAAGTAAATTAATTAAGTAAGTAACTTAAAAGTCCAGTACTTCCACTTTCAACCTATTGTAGCTGGCTTCTTCTTGGTAATATCATGCAGTGATCTCATTGCTACCTGTACATCTCCATCTGGAGTGGGGTTTGGGCATGTTGGGCATGCTTATGTTCCAAGCTTCTGCTTTGTCTTAAGAAAACTGACTTCACTTGGCTGCACGCCTGTACTGGACCTACCCTGCATATTTAGTTTAGTCCTGGGCTCCCATAATATTAGTCATGTGACACTTTTCTATGAGATGACCCTCCAGAGCCGTTCATATCTATTAGTATGCTAAAGAAGTGTAGATAGATTAAAACAAAATGAGATTCTAAAGACTGGAACAAGTGTCAACAGGGTGCTTGAACCATGTTTTTTTCTTTCCTTCTTGGTAGGAAAGGTCAAGATGAGTATTATTTCTCAGACAGTTATTTCTTTGCCTAGGAGAAGAAATACCACTTGCAGGAGCGAGTTGACAAAGTAAAGAAGAAAGTGAAAGACGTGGAGGAAAAGTCAAAAGAGTTTGTTCAGAAGGTAGAGGAAAAAAGCATTGACCTCATTCAGAAATGGGAAGAGAAATCTCGAGAATTCATTGGAAGTTTCCTGGAAATGTTCGGTCCAGAAGGAGCACTGGTATGTTTGTTTTTCCCCGATGAATAATTCAGGACATTTCCGAGCTATGGGGACAGTCACAGAATTTTTGAGGAGAAAAGGACGTTGACATCAAGAAGTTATCTAATCTGTTCCTCATATCTGGGCAGAACTGTATTTCAGCTCTCCCCACAAAGTTCTTTAAAATCTTTACAGAGAGAGGTTGCACATTCTCCTAAATCATTTTTCCAGCTCTGTATCAGCCTCCAGATATGGTGACAAGATAAGGAAGTAGCCTTACCCAGCTTGCTTCTACACTGTAGTTTTAGGTAGGAGGAAAGGAAAGAATAAAGAATAGTAGAAAGAAAGCTGCCTCCACTACAAACAGCCGCTGCAGGATCCCTGGGTAAGGTGGGAATTCCGTCCTTGAGGAGCAGCAACATAGTTTCAAACCAAATAAAGGTGTACGCTATTCAGCAAGTGAGCAAGAAGGATCTGACTATGAAGGTCTTTGGATACTAAAAAAAAAAAAAACCTGTTGCTGTCCAGTCGATTCCGACTCATAGCAACCCTACAGGACAGAGTAGAACTGCCCCATAGGATTTCCAAGGAGTGGCTGGTAGATTTGAACTGCCGACCTTTTGGTTAGCAGCCAGGCCCTTAACCACTGTGCCACGGGGGCTCCCTTTGGATATTAGAATAGATTATTCTGGGAGAACATAGAATTTCCTTTTCAGAGAACTTAAACTGGGATAGGTATCCTTTTGTCTAAGTTAGTTCCTTTGTTTTTTCCTGGAACCAGACTACAGACTAAGTAGCTTTCTAAGAATTCCTTTGACATAGAAGTCAAGGATTTGGTGACTGGGTAGCGAGTGGGAACCCTTAAGTAAGTAGTATAGCGTAGGCTACTTTAGGGAGGAAAGTGCTTAGAACTATAGCTGTGTCCCTCCTCTGGCTTATTGGGTCACTTTTGACATTGCAGGGGCACTTATGATAATTTAAGTCTCAGATCCTCCAATGGTGGGTTAGAATTCATAGCTTTCTTCTAACTCTTCCTTTTGGTCTCCTCAGAAACATATGCTGAAAGAGGGAAAAGGCCGGATGCTGCAGGCCATCAGTCCAAAGCAGAGTCCCAGCAGCAGCCCTACTCGTGAACGCTCTCCCTCCCCCTCTTTCCGATGGCCGTTCTCTGGCAAGACTTCCCCATCTTCCTCCCCGGCAAACCTCTCCAGGCACAAGGCTACAGCCTATGATATCAGTGAGGATGAAGAGGACTAATTTTCCATCCCTTCTCCCCTCTCTTCTCCCTCTGTCGCATCACCTTCAGAAGCTGTCTGTTGAATTCCAAATTGTGATCCCAACACTAAACCCAAGAATAGCTACAGAGGAAAGAGTACTGGGGCAAGAGGACCTGGGATGGGGGAACCAACAGCACGCGCTCCAAGAGGCGTCAGCCATCCACACCAAGAAGGAGGCTGACTGCACCTTAGAAGCCTGTTCTGCATCCATCTACCCTCCCCAAGGACTTTGCTTTACTATTTGTGTTCATGTGATCTTGACAGGGAAATTGTCATTTTTATTAATTTTGTAAAAAATTAGTCTTTCAAATGTAGTAAGTAGAACTAATATTTTGCCCCTGAGGAGGAGGCAGAAGAAGGAAGTAGTGTGATGACCCAGAGGCTTTTCTTCCTGACACTGTAGCGTTTGCCTTCTGTTCTGAAGCAAACTGACTTGCCACGTCCTTCAAGCAGTGAGCCACGCTAATGGGTGGTTTTGGGGGGGCATGTCATAATTTTGATTTCCTTAAAAATGAAAAGCTGAATGATTGCAGTCAAAAATGCCCTAAATGTACTGCTGGCACATGTGTCAGTGTGGCTGTGGGAAGAAGGCGACCTGAGTCTTAACTTTTCTTACTCCCTGAGGAGTTTCTTGTTGGACCCAATGGGGTCCATGAAGACACTGATGGGGATGGATGCGACCACATGGCATCAACTGTGGTTTCCTGCTGTGTTCATCTTCTCAGAAAACTCTGCTGCCCAGTTATTCGGGAGCCCCTGTCCATCTTTCCCAGAACTTTTAGGTTACCGTTAATTGAGGACGGGAGTGGGACCATACTTAATCCTACAGAAAGTTGGTTTAGATTATTTTCCTGCTGGGAGTAAGTTCCTGGCCTTGCTACTCCCATTTCATTGCTGTTACCTAGCTTTTTACAAAGGATACTTTGCAAATGTCTGCAGTTTGCACATGGTCTGTTAATTTATATTGCTCATAGCCATATGGAGAGAGGTTTGCACAGAACGAAGAGGCACACATATAAGGAAACTCTTCCTTTTCTGAAGCAACGGAGTTATCTTGACCTCACCCCCTTTTGAGAATGTTCTTGACCGGAACCAGTGCTCCATAGAGGGTTTCTTCTCCTCTGCAGAGCGCGCTGCAGCTGGCAGGGACTCCCTCCACCACCCCTCCAACAGGCCACAAAGTATGGGTTCATGTTACGGAAGTATGCTTGGTTCTCTCCCTCACATTTGCTCCTGTGTGCCTGATGGTTGTGGTCCCATCTGCCCTGTTAGGTTGCCGAGAGGGACTCGCCACTTGAATGCTGATGCTTAGCACTGTGCTGTCGAGCATGAGCTCATTTTAACCCTCCAGCATCCTATCTCTTCAGCTGCCTGACCTTGCAGATCACCAACAATCAGTAATCCTGTAGCTGGATTCAGTAACCATCAGTAATCCTGTAGCTGGCTTTAGTAACTATCAGTAATCCTGTAGCTGGCTTCAGTAACCATCAATAATCCTGTAGCTGGCTTCAGGGAAAAATTGCTTATGTCCAGGCCCCACCCCCCCATCACTCATAAATGCCCCTTATGGGGGTGGAGTTTTAGTGTTTTCAGCTAAGAAAACCACATTTTATCTTTTCTTGCCCCTCTGCTAGGGCTGTGAGCATCCCTGTGAGTCTCCTCCCTGAACACTTTCTGGTAGAACCTGCTCATCTGCCTGAGGCTCAACGGCTAGAATGACTGCCTGCCTGCACAACAGAACTGCCTAGGTTCTTAAAGCTCCCATCACCCAGAGGGGCAGAGCATGGCAAAGTAGAGGCACAGAGCAGGAGAAACTTCTTGTCCTGATGGTCTATGAAAACCACATTTCTGACTTTTCTTATGAAGTGCTCTTCACTGTCAAATCTGGTTCACACGTGCTCCGGCCTGGGATCCTGTCTTTGAAAGAGTTCCTGTTTTCCCATGTTACCCAGCTTCATGGGATTGTATATTTTAACTTTTCTGCTTTGGGCTTTCCTCTTTGAGAATTCTGCCTATTTCTGTCTGTCTGATTCTCCCTGGTGCAGAAAGACAGTGAAGTTACTGCTGAAGCCCACCCACTCTGCCCTCAAAGTGTACATGTTACACAAGTATTTGAAAAGGGAGATCCCCGTGATGTGCTTTTCCTGCCCCCAGTCACTCCTCTTGAGTATGTTGCTGGGGTCTCTGCTGTCTGTGGGCTCCTTCGGGTGTGCCCTGCCCTTGGAGTGTGACTGCTAGGGCCACATGTGCGCGTGCTCTTGGAAGACTGCCCTGCCTCTCTGGGTGAGCCTCTGCTGCCCCAGTCGCCTAACACTAGCATATTTCCAAATAATTTTGACTGAAAGCAACAGCTTTTATGGTGTGGCATGTTAGATTCCTTGGGATAAATGTGACCCTCGGTGCTGGACAAAGGTGAGTGGGTAGAGGAAGCTGTCAGAATAATGCATTATTTGATCGTATGTGCCTAAATTAAATGAGGGTATAGGTTTGCACACTATGACCATGCCTGTGATCTATAAATCTTCAAATATTAATGTTTGAGGCTGTGGAACTGTTTCTTTGAGCCCCACACAAGAAAGCAGTCAGCTTGAGGGAGCCAAATATGGCAGAGATGGGGGGAGAGCCTTAAAAGCTGATCGGCCTCAGAGCTACCGTCTACAAGATAGAAAGAGGCTGGAGACAGAAGCCCTGGAGCTGGTGGTGAGGAGGGCCATTGCAACAGTTTCCTCCTGGTGGGCTGGGCGGAAAGTTTGCTCTTTTCATACTAGACTCAGGAGCCCTAAAAAATAGAGGTTGAAACTTGAGAGGACTACAAATGGATACTTTGTACTGCTGTAGCTGTCTCTGATAGCTAGAGCCAAAGACTATCATTTTTGGGAGGATTGGGTAAGAAGGCTGGGGATGAGGGGAAATTGGAAATCCTGAAGAGGAGGAAAAATGGAAGGTAGGTTGAAACAACTTGGGCGTTCTCTGATCGCTGATAACTTGTTAGGCAGCACCCGAGGTACATTGTTCTGGCTGTTCCCTCACAGTGGTTCTTCACACTGCTCTTATTCTGTTTCTGCAGTATCTTAACCTGTGGGTAACTATTTTTCTGGAGCTCATTGACTTTTTCATCCTGTTGCAGGTCCCTTATCTAAAATGTGTCCAAATCAATTATATTTTGCTGCTTTCCTTTAATTCTCAAAAAGCCAGAGCTTCCAAATGTTCTGTCAGCATACACTCTCACCAGGAGATGAACCCAAACAGGTAGAAAGAACTTCCTTTAACAATGTTTGTAACCAGTGGTATTTTTTTTAAGGTCACCAATGTAAGCATTTTTAAAGGTTATATTTTTTGAAGTCATAACATTGATTGCTCTTGTTTTCTCTCATAGAATAGATTGTCATGGGATGAACAATGGTTCCTTCTGTTTTTCCAAATAAATAAGTAGAACGTGTTCTTGAGATTATACTATTAAATGTTAATTTTCTTAAAAAGTAAAAAGAATTTGTCTGCCAAAGTTGTATGTTAGTACTCAGATTGGGGTAGGAAACCAAAGCGCCGGATTAATCAGGATGACTCGGGTTTTGTTCCTTTTGAAGCGGGCCCTCCCCACCCTTCTTCTTGGTAGGCGCTGACTGTTTTGAACACAGAGACTTGATTTGTTGTTGGGTGAGGATTCTGAAAAGAGAAAACTGTCTGGGAAAGAAATGCCTGCCTTGGCATGACTGTTAGCCTCACCACCAGTGCCAGAGTCCATGGGAAAGTTTTCCTTAATTAGTGTTAAGTAGATTGTCTTTCCTGTCTGACTGTTATTAATTTAGTCAGAGTTATTTTGGCTTTTAAGGAGCCCTGGTGGTGCATTGGTTAAAGCACCCGGCTGCTAACTGAAAGGTCGGCGGTTTGAACCCACCAGCTGCTCCATGGGAGAAAGATATGGTAGTAGGCTTCTATAAAGATTACAGCCTTGGAAACCCTTTGGGGTAGTTCTTCCCTGTCCTACAGGGTTGCTATGAGTGGGAATCGACTTGACGTCAGTGAGTTTGGCTTTTTTTTTTTTTTTTTTTTTTTTTTTGGTATTTTTATCATTTAGCCAAATAAATGATAATGTTCCATTTCCTGTGGTTTTGACCTGGTATACTTCTGGATGATATATTTTATGAATTTGGGGCTTTTACCTTTGTTCCCAATGCCTTTGCTTTTACATCCTAATTTCCCTCCTCAAAATCAAGCTCCATGACCGTATTATTGGGGATTCCTTTTGCAGCTTGACACAGAGGACTCAAAAAGCCATTGCCCTGCAAAGGGAGTCTGGTCCAGATCTCCCAGGCTTAATGTCACCAGTGCCCTAATGACACATCTGTAAAAGCAAGGACACCTTCCACCTGTTCTCCAGAAGCCTGGTATCTTCAGGACTTGGGCTGGTATTGTTTGGCTGGCTGAGTTCTCCTATCCTCATTCCGGACACACTGCCATACACTTCTTCCTCCTTCCCTTTGATTCAGGAAAGCCCACCGTGACCGTTCTGTATACAAGCTTTAAGGGCTGATAGTGGCACCCACAGAGGTGATGCACCCAGGTATAGATTTTCAGACTCCATCCTATTTATTTATTACAAAACTTAAAATACCTTCCCCAAGCAAGATCCAAAACAATTTCATCCCATTGCATAATTCACCTTCATCTCTATAGTGAACTGTAATCTGCCAGCTTCTGCTGACAGTGGGGATCCTTCCCCATTTGATCAAGGTTGAGGGACAATGAAGAAATTGTGTGCCCTCCTAATGAGTACTGTGTCTTTTCCATTGTTCGTGCCATCTGCCTCAGGCTTCAAGGTTCCATTCCATGTCTGGAGAAGAGAAAGGTTCGTACCCAAGTTTGTCGTCTTTCCTCCGGTAGTATATTCGTGTCAGCACAGTTATTAGAAAACTCTCCAGTAGGAGCAGGTGGCAGTTCATCACTGTAATGCGAGGTAAAACATAATGTAGGTTATGCTAAGAGACAGAGGTGGTGTCCCACTAGCAGCCCTGGCATGTGAATTGCACACTTTCTCCAGTTTATCCCCAAACCAGGACCTAGAGATAAGAAGTTGTCATAAGTAACAAAGCAAGCTAGTGGTAGAGTCAGAACTAGAACTCAGCTCTCCACCTTCTGAGATCTGAGCCCATTTCTCACTGTGTTTTATCAGCTCGATTTTCCGCTCTCTAACCACACCCGTTCCTCTCCCAGCAGCTGAGGATTGTGCCCGTGGCTCCCTCTGTTGGCCATCAGGACTAGTCTCAAGCTGTGGGGTTGCACCTCCTCTATGTGATCAGAGAGGCAGTCATAGTCTCCTTAAAGCTCCTGCTGAGATTTCTCAGGGATCATCTTGCTGAATATTTTAGCAGAAGTCAGGCTGGCCCAACCTCTGTCTAAGGTCCTCTCTTCCCTGATCCCTCCCCACCCACCCCAGAATGGGATAGGAGCTCCGGTGTGCTCACCTTGAGACCTGATTTTAGAGGAAAAGGGAGGTGAACAAGCAATCTGCCCATTGTTGGCCAAGATTGAGAAAATGGCGGGCTGCAGGGCAGTCAAGACGAAGAGCACCTGCAGGACAGAAAAAGGGTGGAGCTGGGGTGGAACTTGCCATTCTCGGCGCTGAGGCCAGCCATCCGCTGCTCTGCCTTGTCCTTTTCACTGTGAAGACTTGGCCAACCATTAGACCTGTACAGCTCCACAGGGACCAAGATGCCCACTTGATTACAACTTTATAGATATTAATCTTTAGTCAAGTTACAATCTCAGCTTTGACTCAGTATCTTATTAGAGTTGCTGACAAGAAACAAAAAAAAACTGATTGGGGTTCATGTGTATTTCCTGCTTCAGCCATGGCTACTAATGAGCACTTAAATGGATGAAAAAGGTAGCTGATGGGAGAAGAGTAATTCCACCAGCTCAAGTACCTGTGATTCCTGCTTCTGGAATAATGGACAATCAACCATTAAAGGGCCCTTTAAAAAAATCTCTGTCCAGAGGCCCAGGAGCATCATTTATTTTAGCACTGCCTTCCTTGAGTGCACTTTCCTTGAAGCATCAGGCTCCTCAAGGCAGATTTGGCCTGTCCAGGCTTCCCCACAATAATCACAATGATCATAATCATCAGTCTCAGCAATCATGTGGCTTTTACTCTTTGGGCCCAATCCTAAATTTTTCTGGTGCCCAGCTGCTTGCTGTCCCTTCAATCCCTGGCTCCATTTCAGGGACTTCTCTCTCTCTTCCTGTAGCTCCTTCAGTTCTATCTGTTATGTACCTGAAAATTCACATTCGAGAGGCATCTGCTTAGATCAATCAGAATGTGTATGAAGTCACTTTGTTAATGGCAAAGCAATCATTATGCCTTGGGAGTAGGAGAAGGGCCCAGCAAGGAGACAGGAAGAATGGACAGGAAAACATGATCGACTCAGAAGTCATTGCATTTATATACAAGACATCTTTGGACTTAGAGAATAGAAGATGTAGAAAGTGAAAAAACATGCCTTTGAAAGAATTTTCACGAGAGTTATGAAGAGGAAGAGGCAGTGCAATGAGAAGAAGGAACACGAGTTTGGGAGTTAGACTTGGGTTTAAATTTTAGCCCCATAACATCTCTGAGTCTCAGTTTCCTTGTTTGTAAACTAGGAATAATAACAAATGACTCCTGGGATTGTTGTGAAAATGTATGAAAAGTGCCTTGCACATGGTATAGATATTGATAATGGCAGCTATGATAATGCTGCTGCTGGTGGTGATGGATTATAGAGTTTTAGGAAATAATGGGTAGAAAAGAAAAAAGAAAAGACAAAAGTAGAAGAATTGAAGAAATGTTGACAGTACAAGGAAAGGCAAAAACCAGGAAGGTGCAGGGGTCATTTTCCAAATCTCAGGGGAAACCTGAGGCTTAAGATTCCCAAAACCTCCTAACCTCAATCATTTGTAGCTCTGTTATTAACCAGGCATGAATAATTAGTTACCTGGAAAAGACCAAATTTGGCTCCCATGTTCTGCTCACCCAGGTGCAGCCTGGCTTGACGGAAAAGGATGCTCAGGGCCCAGAGAGCCAAGAGCGTGGACACACTGAGGAAAGTGCTGATCCAGAGAGCTGCGCTCTTCTCAGAAATCTGGCAGCAGACGATAAAGTCAGTGAGGGAGGCAAGCCCTTCTCTTTCTACTGCTCCCCTGTGGTGGGAAAGGTAGGAGAAAAGCCCCAAAGCCTGTGCCTGTTGATGTCTCCTTCCTACCAGAGCCCCCAAGCCTCTACTATCCACATCCATACTGTCCCTGGGGCCCTGTGTCAGGGAATGTTGGATCCAGCTATTCCTTCTAGAACTCAAGGGTACTAAATGAGGCCCGGATTTTGCCACCCTGTATTCCTGGCTTACATCTGCTGGGTCAAAGATGCCGTCAGGGATGAGAAACAGGCCCACCACGATCAGTGTTATCCTGAGGAAGGCATACTGGAATGGGCCCAACATTAGCAGCTGAAGCTTCTTCCTGAGGGGCAAGAGGGTTAGAAACATGGACCCACAAACCACTCACCCCAAGAAGACCTGAAAGCTCCCTCACTGGGCTCCTGGGCTGAGGCTTGGTTGCTGTCATAGACGAAAACAGTTAAGTGGATGGAGACCCAAGAAGCCAGAATGTTGAGGGCATTGAGAACCCTCCTCGCCTCCCATTTACCTGCAGATGCTACCTTTCAAGCAAGATCTATCAAGACTGTTGACCCCAGCCTCATTAACCAAAATGGGCAGAAGAGGCAAGTAAATGGCCCAAAGTCTAATTAACTCTGTGTGGCTAAGGTTTGCAGGGGTCAGTGAGCTTAAGTGATAGGAACTTTAAAGTTCTCCTTCCTCTGCTCCCCTCTTCCCTTGGGGTTGGGGGCCCTATGTGTGTCCTTTCTCCCACTGACGCAGAAATTCAGGAGGAGGGTCTCGGCTATGGGATGCCCACCCTGTCACTGTTCCATACATGCCTAATTCCAAGAGCTCTGAAGCAGAACTGAGACAGCAGAAGAGGCTCGTGGGAGAGTGCAGGAAGAGGCCAATCTGTTCCTCAATGATGCCCCTCCCACCTTACCTGGTGAGCTTGAAGGGCGGGCAGCAGAGGCAACAGCAGCAGCAGGGCCCCGTGTGGATCCTCATTGGGGTGTCCTTCAGTGTCCTCAGTACTGCCTCCTTCCCACCAAAGCCTTCCACCATGACCATCATCAGCAGGTAAAAGCACGCTGCATAAAACCTGGAGTGAGGGGGGCAGTGAGAGTATGTAGAAGGGATGTGTCAGTCAGCTGAGGGGACACCCCTTTGCTGCAAAGGGAGCGGGGAGGGTGGGGCTTACTGAGGGGAAGACAGGAGGACCAAGCACTCTGAATGTGTGCATTCTGAGGAGTGAAAGAGGACAGCGCTGGGAGGCTGGGTAGGAAGGAGGGGGGTTTTCAGGCTGTGAAAACAAAGAGGTGACTGAGAAATGTGCCAAAATAAGGCATTCCCTGAACAGAGCTCGAAGTTCAAGAGGCCCAGATTAGGACAAGTTGGGAAGGGCTAGATTCACGATCTGTTGGTCTGCAGGGATTGAAGGAAAGGATAGGGTATAGGAGAAGACAAGGACTGCGGAGCCCAGGGTAAGTGCGAAACAGAAGGGGACCTTAGGGGATACCCAGCCCAAAGATGGGGGCTGGGCAGGACACTCACGAGGCGATGGCCATTTCCACGAGCATGAGGGAACGAGGGATCCAGAGACCAAAGCAGCAGAACACAGACACGACCTGCTTGGAGAGGAGCAAGAGCCATTAGGGCAGGGAGGAGACTGAGCACCCTTGCGAAACTTTTATGGCAAGGGTTCAATGTAGCAAAACCTAACACTTGACGCACCGTTACTTAAAAGTTGTCAGCTGGAAAAATAATGAAATCAATTTATTTTAAAATTCAGCTGTCCGTTCTTCTATGTCTAGGGTGAGAGGGAGCAAGTCCCCTTGAGTCATGGGCTCTTTTGAAGACTCTCACGCTGTACCTGGGAAGGAGTAGGTAAGTTTATCCTTAGGAGTAAATGGATCGAGGTCCAACCCTTTCCTTTTATTAGGCCCATGTTACTAGAGCCTCTCTGATGGATTGAGATGGCCCAGGCAGATGTCATCTGGCAGGAAAGGACCTCAAGGGCTCGACTCTCCACCCCAAACAGACACACAGGGCTCACTGCAAGGGAACAGAAATCCAATCTGATGTCACAGGAGCAAACCAAAGACCTATATAATGGCCATGGGAGTGAGTTTTAAAAAGCATAGGGGTAAAGCTGAGTATGACCCTGTGGAGAAGAAATTCTTTCCCTCCTGCACTCTGAGGAACTACTGCCTGCCTGTACAGGAAGGAGGCTTGCTTTTAATAGCAATACTGTGGTGGGGGAGTGGTGTGTGGGGCTGCTGTTGGGTGGCAGGCTCTCCAGCTATCTCTGCAGGATCTTAGAACAGTGCATCCCGCTGCCTGTTGACCTTCCAAGCATGGGGTCCTAATTGCAAATGAGATCAGATTACAACCCCCACCCTGAGCGGGGAGAGGCAGGCAAACCTTTGCTGACTTGAATTGTTGAGTTCAGAAGAATTCTCAAAATGGTCCCTGCCTCCCCTCCAGTTCCTCCCAAAGGGCAGGTACAGGGCCTTCACCGTGGGTGCAGAGCTACTCCAGAGCAGAGTCCTCCTCTTGATGGGACAACGGGTGTTCTTATACAGGTAGACAGCATCCTCCAGGAAGATGATGACAGAGCCCATGGTAAGCGTGGTCAAGACGGCTGTGAGGGCAGCTTCCGCAGGGCCCAATGCTAGAGTAGAAGAAGAGGGCAGATTGCAGTCAGCTCAAGACCAAGACCACGGGGAGAAGATGTGGTTTCCTCACTCACCACCACTTGGACCTAAACTGCCTTGCCATGCCTAGAATGATCTGATCTAGGCTCCAGTCCATGCCGAAGCATGACTATGTCTCAGACCTAGCGTATCCACCATGTGGCTAAGAAATAGTCATTCTTCTGCATGGATGGGAGACTAGACCAGATAATTCTAGGTATGACAAGGCCTACCTGAACCAGGGTATAGGCACCAAACAAGGTTTTACATACTTAGTAAAATTTTTGAAGTGGTCAGCAGGGCCCATTCACTTTTATACCTCCAGTGCCAGGTGTCACACTGGCAAGCATGAGCCAATTAACAATTATAACTAAAACAGATAACACTTGGACAAACACTGGTGTCACCATTGTTAACAGAAAAATTAATATAGTCACACAATATATGTTTCTGAACATGTGGTTTACTAATGCAACAATCAGTTTTAAACAAAGACCTTTGTGTCCTTAGTGCCTGAGCCCCTGGGCTCACTTATCTAAGTGTCTTCCCTAGTCATTGGATTCTCTCCTTTCCACCTAATGCGGGGGGAAGATGGTCAGAGCCCAGTCCATTGGCCATGGACAATGTATGGGAAAACCTGCCCCATGTCTGGTGACCCAGCAGCATGAGGGCAGCTCAGAGAAACCAAAACAGGGAGAAAGGAGAGACCACAGTGCTGTTTTCTGCTGGGTCTGTCATACCCAGCAGCACCACAAGAAGCAACCAGGACAAACGTGAATCTGTCAAAAAATACCACATTTATTCTGGCTGCTCTTATTTTAGGGCACACGTTTTTCTCTCTGCTTTATCCAAAGGAGGCCCTTTACCTCTGGCCACAGTTAGGTCTTATGGCTAATCCACATGACTCACAATTGTTGGATTTCAGCTCCCAATCTGGACTTCTGAAGTCAGTAGTAAACTTCTCCGTCCTATCACAGACGGTGAAAGATAGGACCATGCTGTTTTTCTCTCTCCTCCTAGCCATCCCTCCCTCCACCCCGCCTCCACTTAGCTAGGATGCAGCCCTCTGGGTGACTAAATTCCTGGCTTGGCATTGCTGCTGCTGTTTAGCTCTGCTGACTCTCTCAATTACCTCTCCAGATACTGCTCCAGTAAGCTCTGCAAGTTTTTAACATTAAAAACTGGTTGCAATCCTTTATTTTTTAAAAAGAGGCTTACCTTTTACTCCTGAAATGTTTAAAACATAAACACTACAGAGGATGTTTTACACAATTGTACACTTACGCAACCAAAATGCATTGTGTATTTAAAACTATCACGGAGATACACGTAAAGCCTGCTATATATCAAAATAATTCCAGATGGGTTAAAGAGGTAAATATTTAAAAAACAAACGGGGAAAATAGGAAAAAAATATATGTAAGTATTAAAAAACTAAATGGGAAAATAGAAAAAAGAAAATATTTCCATGAAAACTCTGGCGGGGGAAGACCTTTCTAAGCTTAGAAGTACTACGAGAAATCACACAGAGAAAACGGTCAAATTTGTTATAAAAATTTTAAACTTAGACAGCAAGCAGACTGGGGGAAAATATTTTTAGTAAATGTGTACCTGAGTGTAATATTCTTATTACAGAAGAAAACTGATAACAGAAACATGCGGCTCTTGCAGATAAATGGGAAAATGATATTAACAAAGTTCAGGACGTGTGGGAAAATATTCAACCTGCCTAGTAGTCAGAGAAAAGCAAAACAACATAATGGCATATTATTTTTGGTCTATTACAAGATAAAACCTGATTTGATAAGAGTGAGACAAAACAGGCCCTGTCCTGTTTCCTGGCAGAAATATAAATTGGTACAACCCTTTGAGAAAGCAATTTAGCGGTATGTGTCAAGAGCCTTTGACCTAGTAATTCTATTCCTGGGATTCTATCTTTCAGCTATCACAACACAAAGCTCTCTATAAAAAATGTTTATAATATTATTGATTTAAAAAAAAAACAAAAAACCAAACTTGCTGCTGTCAAATCGATTCTGACTCATAGCGACCCTATAGGACAGGTTAGAACTGCCCCATAGGGTTTCCAGGGAGTGGCTGGTGGATTCAAACTGCCAACCTTTTGGTTAGCAGCCGAGCTCTTAACCACTGTGCCACTAGGGCTCCCTAAATTAGACACAAATCACCAACAATATTGGAATTATTAAGTAAACTACCCAACAGAATATTATGCAGCCATGAAAATGTGTACATGCCATAAAAAATCCTTGCAAATAATGTGTAATAATGTATTTTTTTAACTTATTAACAGATCCATAAATATATGGTCATCTGATTTATGACAAAGTCACCACTATAATTGGGTGGGGAAAGGGTTTTTTTTTAAAAATAAAGGGTGCTGGGTCAACTGGATATCCTTGGGTGGGGGGAGAACATTGACCCTTCCTACTTTACATCATGCAAAAACACCTAAATGTGAAAGTTAAAACAGTAAGTTTTTAGGAGAAAACAGAGAAGTATATCTTCATGAGTTTGAGGTAGACAAAGATTTTTTAAAATAGGACACAACAGCACTAATCATAAGAGAAAAAATTGATAAATTGGACTTTCTTAAAGGTAAGAATTTCCATTAATCAAAAGACACCATTAAGAGAATGAAAAAGGCAAACCTCAGAAGATATTTGCAATCCATTTATCCAACAAAAAACTCATATCCATAATATATAAAGGATTTCTATCAAATCAGAAAGAAAAAGAGAGACAACACAATTTTTTCAAAATAGAAAGACCTGAACAGTTACTTTACAAAAGAAGATATCCAAATATTCAAGAAGCTTGAAAAGGTGCTAAGTATCACTAGTCACCAGAGAAATACAAGTTAAAATCTCAGTGAGATGCCACATATATACTCATTAAAAAACCCACTACCATCGAGTTTATTGTGACTCATAGCAAACCTATAGGACGGAGTAGAACTACCCCATAAGGTTTCCAAAGAGTGGCTGGTGGATTTGAACTACTGACCTTTTCGTTAGCAGCTGAGCTCTTAACCACTGTGCCATGAGGGCTCCACACATACACATTCGAAGAGTTAAAAGAACCAACAATCTCAAACGCTAGTGAGAATGAACATACATTGCTCTCATACATTGCTGTTGGGAATATAAATTGCTACAACCACTTTGGAAAAACAATTTCTCATTATGCACACTTGGGGTCCCTATGGGTCAGAATCAACGCAACAGCAACTAACAACAACAAAAACACTAAAGCTAAACATACACCTACCTTACCCATTGCTGTTGAGTCGATTCCGACTCATTCCACTCCTGGGTACATAATCAATAGATATGAGTGCTTATGAGCACCAAAAAAAAAAATGTTCAGAGCACCATTATTCATAATGACCAAGGCTGGAAACAACTCACATGTTCTTCAAAAAGAATATATATATACAATGAAATATGCAGCAATAAAAAAGAATGAATGACTGACACATGCAACAAAAGGCATAAAAACACAACGATGAGGTGAAAGAAGTCAGACACAAGAAGACATACTATTTGATTTCATTTATATGAAGTGTGTTGTTGTTAGGTGCCATGGAGTTGATTCTGACTCATAGCCCATGTGACAGAGTAGAACTGCCCCAATAGGGTTTTCTAGGCTGTAATCTTTACCAGAGCAGAACGCCAGGTCTTTCTCCCACAGAGCTGCTGGGTGGGTTTGAACGGCCAATCTTTCCGTTAGCAGCTGAACGCTTAACCGCTGTGCTACCAAGCCTCTTCATATGAAATTTAAGAACAGGCAAAACTGATCTATAGAGGTTAGAACAGTGGTCTGTGGGGGGAAGAAAACTGGGAGGGGATATGAGGGCCTCTGCTGGGTGCTGGAAAAGTTCTATATCTTGATTTGGGTTGTGATTTCACACGTGGACACATAGATAAAATTCATCAAACTGTATACTTAATATCTTTGCACTTTATGTAAGTTACATCTCAAAAAGTATGTGATCAAAGCAGAATACACAATTAGCACATGCAGTAACAGTACAACCGTGTTCAAAGTATTTCATTGAGGGGAAGAGATAGAAAAGAGTTGCAGGAAGGATACGGCACTACTATCTTTATTTTTCAAAATGGAAAGTCAAGAAGTACTTTCCACAGTTGATAGAACAAGAAATAAAACATTCACAAAGGTATAGACAACCAGCTAAAAATATTGACATAATTATATGGAGAGTATAGAAGAAGGCTGGGGATAAGTGATCTAAATCTTCACGTATCATAGAGGTAGCCACAGATAATGTCCAAAATTGATACCCCAGGAAATAATGGTGTAAAATATTGGTGATTTGAAGGAAACGATCAAAAGAACCATCAGCTAAAAGAGTTAAAGCAGTTTCTCTGAGGACGAAGATTAGAAATGAGAAAGTATGGGCAGAGAATGGTCGGTTTTCATTAGTAGCCTTTTTGTACTATTTGAATGTTGAACCATGTTCATTTTTCTATGCAATGATCTTAAAAAAAATTGCATAGAAAAATGCCTAAAAATACTAAAAAAACATTAACAACCCTTGTCTAGGGTGATGGGACTGTGGGTGATTTTTGTCTTCTTTTCTATCTTGTTACTTTTTCCTCTTTTCCAATTATTCTACAATGACTATGTATCATAATACAAAATAAACTCTTTTTTAAGGGACACGTTTTTCCAAATATGTAACAATGTGAAAAAATTCCTATGAAACAGGAGATAAAATTGTACGTACAGTATTTCTACTAACGTTAAATAAAAGCATAGAAAAAAGCCTGGAAGGAAATTACACTAAGTTATTTGCAGTGCTTGTCTGTGAGTGGTGGGACTATAGATGACTTTTTCTCTTTTTACTTTTCTGTATTTTCGTATTTACTGAACCTGAATCATTTTTATAATAGAAGTATTCAGTATTAAAAAAAAATATGCACAAAAGATAAAGCCC